TAAACAAAATGGGAACAACTTTAACTGAAGAATATGGTACAACAACAACAAGTACCACATAAACAACAACAGCAATAACAAATCTCTCCTACCTAGAGGGCTACAACCTTTGTCTTGCTTTCTAAACCATACTGAACAGCTTCTGTGGTACTTCCTGTAATGCATTCCTCTCAACATGATGTAGCGATATTCTCGTGAAACATCAGGGTAATTGTAAAGCTGAATGAAATTCATCTCAGGTAAATTATGGAGATCACTTGACCATCCAAGAGCTGAAATCCTCACCATAGTTGCTTTGTATTCAAAGTCGCTCTGGTTCTGTTCTAGGTCCTGAACATCTGTAAGAAGTTCTCGGTTTTCTCCACTACTTGATGGCAGGACATGTCGCGTCAGCAAAGTGTGAACTTTCGACACTAAGTTGGCTCTGATTTCACCTGTTTATTTTGAATTAGATTTTAAAATCTCCCTGAGATCTTTTGCTAAGAGTTTCTGAATGTCATCTTATGATGAAATTTCCATGTTGTTGTCTTAAAGAACCATTTTAAAGGGAGAAATTGCATTGAAAAGTACATTAGAACATGAAATGTCGATAGATCAGCTGTTTGAAAGATCCCCAGCCTCGTTATCGTGTGTGCACAGTTACTAATCCAATATGGTGCCAAGAACTGTAAAAAGGTCTATTCCTTATGGAATATTTTATTTTGTTGAAACCATAATATGTTGTAATTAACATAAAATTTCACAGTAAAATGATAACTGAGTTTTATCAACATGCAAATTAGCAACTGTGTTAAAAGATGTGTGACTACTACACAAGTGATGCAAAGCTGCTACATAACTCTGGTCTTTATCTAACTGGTTCTGCAGCAAGAAATAAAGCTGAAAGATTTAGGGACAAACTCCCTAAGGTAATAGATGGAAAACTTGCAGTGGGGCAAAATCTTTATAAACCTCCTTTCAAACTGGCAGAAGTAAAGCTGGTGTGCTGCATTTGCAAGTGGTTTCAGATCTGTTGTTGAAGAGCAAAACTTAAACAATGCAAGAGTTTCCGTTATTTTAACAATTACTCTTTATTCAAGGTCCTCCCCCCATAATTCCTGGAACACCTCCACCGGCTTATTCAGAAATGCCACCACCCTACACCCCACCAATTTCAATGAACACTGAGCCATCTGTGATCTGCAGAGTTTGTCAACAGCTCATTTACATTAAAGGAAGGGAACACCAGCGGGTTGTGAAGTGTGCCAACTGTCAAGAAGCTACGGTGAGAAACCGACTTCCAATTATGCCTATTGATAAGGAATGACATAAAATTAATGTAGATTAAATTGCAAATTCATACTCCTATTCAGAAGGATTGACATATATGTAGCTCAGATTGCAATTCCAGATTTTAATAAAAAATAGAAAAAAGAGTGATACCCTCATGTAACGTACTGGTGTCTATAGCCAGAATATCTAAATTAATTTTTCATTGTAAGCAAAGAAAAAGTTGCATAAAGGGCTAAGCCTCCACATAGCAATAAATTTAGTCATCTAACTGTGTCATTTATTCCTGTACACTCTTAAGATCAATATGCTTTTCCTCCATACTGTTCTTTACATATCTCCAAAGGTGCTGACAAGGAGAATTTGTTTACGATCTAGAGCTTCTTGAGTTCTTGATTATTTCCTTTATTGTTGTCACCTTAATGTCTGATCCAGGTATGATATTGTGAGGAGAAAGATTGGATATTTTTTTTTCCTTCCCTCAGCCTATAAAAGCACCTCCAGCTGGCAAGAAATACATTCGTTGCCCATGTAATGCTCTGCTGACCTGCAAGGTCTCCTCCGTCAGGATATCTTGCCCAAGAGTTAACTGGTCAGTTCTCAACAGATATTTCCATTTGTGAGATTGAGTTGTCACTTAATTCTGTGTCAATACTGTAACTCAGAGAAGTGACTGACATGTAACTTCTCACTTAAATATCCATACATTATCCAGCAATTGGTTAATGAGAATTTTCAAATTTAGCAGATAGAAGTTATTATGTTGATTCAACACCAAATTCTCATAACTAAGTGTCAAGGAAATCTGTATCAGCTAGAGGGGAGAATTATCAATCAGATCTTGGGGTTTAAGGGTTAATTGGAAAATGGACGTCATAGAGAGAAATTTATTTGACACATGTCAACATTTTTGTGATCCAGGTGTCCTCCAAGAAGGGTTCTATCAACATATTGAAAAGTTATTGTTTTTGAATTATTTTGTGATCTTGCAAAGGTAATTCCAGTTGATGTAATTTTTGCCTTCTCTAGAAAAATTTTCTTTTGGTTTTATGGCTTGTGTGAATAATTTCACTTTTGTCCTTCAGCAAGCGCATAATCAACCTTGCAGCACCTCCAATGCTGCCGCCAGCAGCAACAATACCATCTATGGCTAGAAGTCAGTTTAGAGTGACTTGTGGACATTGCAATGAGATCTTTGTGGTAAGTTCTAAGTTTTTTTTTCAAAAGCAGTTGGCAGCCAACAAAATTGTTAGGTTATTTCACATGTCTCAGAGTGCTTGTTGTCTTCGTTTAATTAGATCTCACCGGTCTTTGAATGAAATATGTCATGCGTCTTCCACCTTGTAAGGTGCACATACAGTTTTAGCCAACACAAGTTATAAATATAGTTTTCTGTCACATGTATTTTTGTTGTCACTCTTTCACATAAAACTAGCATTACAGCATCTGCTAAAGATACAGGAAGCTTTTGCTTAACATACATATCTATCTATTTACCTGTATTCTGATTGAGAATCATTTAAATAAAAATTTTAAGTTTGTTTCAGTCTGGTTAAATGTATTGAAATAAAATATCTTTTTATGTATTGTTTCAATTGGTGTCTAAAAGGAATATCAAATCAGCAATCCTTATTTGTTAGCTGACTACATAAAAGCAGGGAGATGATCTTGTTTTTATTACAACAGGCAAGACTTGCAACAATTGAGAAGGTTGCCATTTATTGTCAATCAAAATAACAGTTTTGTAAGTGAAGTTAATCAACTTTGTATTCCTTGATTGATATGTTTTTTTCTCTCCTTCCAGTTTCACACAACAAGCCACCTGGCTAGATGTCCCCACTGCAGAAGAATGTGAGTATATAACTGTTCAGGTTTATCATCAGTGTAACTTTTCAACATTCATATTGGGAGGTTCAATATTACTGGTTGTCTCTCTGCTACTCAGCTAGGTTCCTCAGGGGTGTCTGTTAGTTTAGTAGGGCTTGGTCAAACAGGAACAACATTGGCACCATTAGGTTTAAGTGTGAGAGATTGTCAGTTATTTCTCAAGGATTTTGGTCTTGTATTGATTGTCTTAAAAGGATTGTAGCCAGCCCCAGATTGGTGGGGTGATCTTGTGGGAGGGTATAAAGAATTTCTAAAAGGTGACTTAACTAGCTTATGGCATCATAACAGTGTAGTGGTCTGTGATGCATCAGTATTCTTTCTGTGATTTATCATTTTTAATGTATGTCTTAGTTTAATCTTAAATCAATGATCTGTTTATCTTAGATCTTCGGTGGGACCAAATTTTGCCAGGACTCGTGCCACTATATTTGCTGTCATTGGATTCATCTTCCTAGCAGCAGGTGTTGGAGTTACTGTGGGAACCCTGGACCTTGCAAGAGATTCAGGAGGTAAGCCACAGGTGCACATTTATACAACTTCTTTCCTGTCTGTCTGGCTTTATTTCTGTCAATTGTCGTAGAAAATTAGAAAAAGGAAATTTTTGGTTTGTACTGTAAGTTTCGGATCCTTGTATTTTTCTATGGGAGAAAAAGCTAATTCGTGTAACACACAGTAAGGACTTTAGACTTCGTATGCAAGAATTATTGATAAAAAACTGGTTAGAGTTTTGCAAAACTTGGTTATGAAATTAATTCTTTTATTTCTTTCCTCTTCTTTCTTTATCACTGTGTAGATCATTAGTTTTCATTCAAGATACACTAATGCCAAACTCTTTTGTGTTCTCTCTAGGTATCTATGTGGTTTGGATTGGCGCATTTGTTGCTGGTATCCTTAACTTGATCAGAAGTTGCTATTACTGCACCATGACTGTCAGTTCAATTGAAGGAGAACCATAAATGGGTGTCCTTGAAGAAGGCATCAATAGAAAGAACAGCAAGAGATGTCTTTGCATGCAATTGTTATTTTGTAATAAAATCAGCCAGGATGCTATGCACAAATTTGAGAAAAAACAAGTTGCAGCGCTCAGAATATTGCCTTGACAGTGGGCCAGATCTTACTGTCTGATTGTTTTTTTTTGTCTAATTGTCTTAATCACATTGCAGTATGTTCAGGTCTTTTCTTTCTTACTTGCTTACTAATTCAACGTCCAAATGAATCATTGACTGTCTGCTATTTTGAGTACTGTACTGTGTTAGAGCAAGGCTATTTTTTTTTTGTTAATGGAATTTATGCAGTAACCTCAGGTTTCGTAATTTTCTCATAATCATTATTTTATTTCCACTTTATCATTTTTGAATGTGCTAGGATAAAGCAGAATGTGAGCCATGTTGGCTGAAGGCATATTTTATTCAGCAAAGAACTTGAAAAAGAACAAAGAAGAACCTGCAACCAGAGGTCTTTGGTTGACAGTAAATATTGTTCAAATGTGTGCTTGGCATGCTAGCAATGAAAAACCAGTTATAATTATTTCACATTATATATTAGAAATAGAGATATGTTAAGAAAGGAAGCATAGTTATCCCAAAACTAACTTTCTAAACTGAAAATAGCAAGTTGACCCAAATAATTTAGTATGTACAAAACTAAACTGCTAATATCATGAATGAATGGCAGTCTTAAACAAGGTTTTTTAGGTGTCTTTTAGAAACTTATCCATCCCAGTCATTTCATAAATTGAGTAGTTTTGATCTTTAGAGGGCCCCTTGATTTTGCAAGCAGAGGTAGAGATTTTGCTGTTTGTATGCATGGTTGGTGAGAAACTTTTCAGGAATATTACTGCAGTCATCATAACTTTCTTACCCATCTGGAGGGAATTTATGTTACATGTTAATTTTGTGGATTGTATGGAGTTTGTCACAGAGTTGAGAGGAGTTTTCTGTGAAGTTCTTTGGTTACACAAGGTGTGCTTCTGTTGTACAACAACTGTTTTTGAAATTTTTAGGACTTCCTTGATCTTTTCTCTTTGGCTTGTAATAATATACATGAAAAAATTACACTTGTCTGATTGGCTTAAAACGAGTACGTTAATCATGCACCACGAGTGTAGATTTATGCTCAAATACAAAATAGTGAGTATGCTACCAAAATTTTGTCTGTTGACTCTCCTTGACGAGTTTTTCATGTAAATTATTAAAAAGTAACCACATGATTCTTGTGCAATTTGGTGTAAAGAAGCGTTAAATTTATCAAAGACTACAAATTGTACACACTCGACAGGCGTGTGTAATTTTGTGGTCTTTAAAGAATTAACTCCTGCTTATTAACACCAAATTGCACTTGAAATCATGTTGTTAACTATACTAACCAAGCAAAAATCGAGAATCAACAACAGGATTGTGTTATGTTCTTTGAGAAATTTATTGCCAGTGAACAACATGATCATTGTAATTTCGTCACTCTGTGTATAAAATGTAAAAATAAAATCAACTTGATATTTAATTTGGTGTTCTGCTTACTCCCTGAAACGGCCTAGCCTGCCACTGTCTTCTATAGCTCGGTGGCAGAGCCTCCAAGAGTATCAAGGGTCTGAAGGGATTGGGTTGGACTCCTACCGTCCAGGGAGAGTGCAGGCTCAGTTTACATGGATAAGCCCTACTAGTTGGGGCCATTTGGCCTAAAGGACTGAACCCGAACGAATTGTGACTCTGGCTCTTAACCAGAGAGGGGAAAGGCTTTCAAAAGCCTACCACAGAAACTGAAGCTAGAAACATTATTGCATATACTTAAATTGGTCTCTTGTTTTATTTACAAATATTTATACAACAGCTATACATGTGAAGACAATCAATCTAGTCCACAGCCGAATTCTATCCATGATATTCAATGGCCGTTGTCTTCGACAGCTTGAGTTTTATTGCAGTGTACTTTCTTTTAACTGAAACGAACTCGAGTAAGAAGTAAGGTTTGGAGAGTGTGGTGTAAGAACTCGTAGTTAAGTCGTGAAGAGAGACTGGGACTTCGATTCGCCATCTTGTGAGTTAAAACGGACCCTTTTATCACCGTAAGGACACGGTCCCAGCACCGCCGCCACGTCATCATAACTGAGGACTTCTTTGGTCAGAAGTTCATGAGCAAGCTGGAAAGAAGAGGAGAAAAAAAAGAGATACACGACCAAAAGGAGATAACTTTTCCTCTACTGTATCCCTTGTATTGGTTAAGTTGATTGCATTTTACTTAATTTTAGATGGCGTTGAAATGCATCGAGTCAACAGAAGCAAATTGCAATTGTGCTCAAGTTTCCACAAAATGGAAGCTGAAAGCTGGCTCATCAACGCATATACAACACAGACAGTTTCGATGACATTTCTGCTATAAAAATTTCAGAGAATTTAGAACAAATGTAAATAAACACAGCACATAAATAATCTTACCGCATTTAGTTTGTCCAAGTTTTCTTCAATTATTGTATTTGTAGTCAGAAATGCCTTTCTGATTAATATGCGTACCTCCTAAATTATAAACAAAAATTTAGATTTTCCGAACATTCTTCAGCCCTTAAATGAGTTCAGGTCACATCAGTAACAGTGCAGGCATGTGTTCCTGTGATCTCTAGAAACCAAACAGTGTGGAGCTAACCACACAACATATCAGGTACCAGACCCGCGCTTTGCAACGGTTTGCCTGTCACCGATGACGTGTTCACGCCTGAGCTGATCTCTGGTTATAACAAACCTTTCCCAAGAACGACAACCGAAACAGAAATTTGATCTTCATATAAGGGACAAAATAATAGTCATAGTATGAGAGTATATAGTCCAAAGACACGTCGGTTATCTGAGAAATGACAGTCAGACATTGCTTATCACGTGGGAGGGGAGGGGGGGGAAGGGTTGGAGGATTTTGGTCGTGTCATAGTAAAATTTACCTAATCTCCCCCTTAGGCTCTGTAGTATTCTAATGATCCCCCTCCGTTTCCCCTTGAAGACCATGTGACCCCCCCTCCCCCATGATAAATAATTACTGGTGCCTTACAGATGCATTTTATCAACGTAGAGAGGTGCGCAATGTATTTTTTTAAATTTCTACGATGGTTGCTCCTTTTCTTTCCAGGGTTGGTTTAAAAAAGCAACTAGTCTAGTTAAAAGTCACAGGAACATCGTACCTCATCCATGAGCTTAGCAAGTTTATCACTGTAAAACTTCTTGGTCGGCTCGCTGGGTTTTCTAACGGGAAATGAAATATTCCCAACACGAGGGTTCATTCCAAACGTCACAACCTGCCAAAAGAATCGTAAATACAGTCAGCTGATGCAACGCCCACTTGAGGCCGACAGTTACCAAAGTTTACCCTGAGTTCCGCGCTGTAAATACATAGAGTAATCCAAGACGAGGAGTAGTTTCAAGTCTCCACTCTCCCCCCTCCCCCGTTCCCACAACAAAACTCCACAAAATGAAGAGTTTACCTGTTTATACGCCATGTCAGTTACTTTGCGAAGATCATCTTCGGCTCCTTGAGGAACAAAAAACGACCACAAAGGGCTTAAAGTGAGGTTTAAACGAGAAAAAGGGATTTTCTTTTCAACCCGATGATCATAAAGGAAAAACCCTCAGAACAAGATGTACAACGACAAGCACCAAACCGCGGGAAAGTAAGTGGGTAATTCACCTTGGACCTCAGAAGGACGTTACATATTTTTCACGCGCGAGAGATATTCGACTTTCGCGGGAATTCGAATCTTGGACCGTCCGATCATAAGGTTAGATACTCTAACATCACAGAAGAAACTAGCTAGTAAGCTATGCCACATATTCGGTCCAGGCACCACCGATACAGATTTGGTAGCGTGTTTGATAAGAAACTGGTGCGAGTTCACATACCTGTAGTAACTCGCTGGAATATCTTGGCTTCCGCAGCTCTTCCTCCCAAGGCCATGCACATTCGATCAAACAACTAAAAGGTAACAAAAAGTGGTGCCATTTTAAAATATAGGAAAAAAAAGGAAGGAAAACAATCTCGTACTTTTCTTTCAAAAAAACAAAGGTTTAATAAAGATGTTCTTAAGAAAAGTCATTTTTCTAACCTGTTCAGTGCTGTAAAGTTTGTTGTCCGAGGGAAGATACTGCGCATAACCCAGGGTAGCGTTGGTCCGTGGAACAATGGAAAGCTTGGAAAGAAAAATGTTAAATTGGTGGGTTTGCCTTTGACAGGACAGAGAACAACATATAACAATGAATAACAAGCGCTCCGGTGAAAATGATCGTAGAGAGACCAAATCTAAATTTCGATCTCTGTTGAAGGTTTTCTTTTGCGTCAGTTCCTACTCCTAAAACAACAACTTGACCTCAGAGAACTTGTTTCTCTTAGTAAAATTGTTGCTGTCGTTAAGAATGGTCTGATCTGACAATATAAGGTCATATAAGCCAAGTTAGATGGGTAGTTACTTGGGTGCCTGGTTCTAGACTTGGGTTGAATCGTCCCATTGTACTTACTTTCGGCAATGATCAAGATGGTATATTCACCACACAATCTTACAACCCAAAGCACTAAAGAGAAATTTTCAATTGAGTGTCCAAAGTAATCTGGGATTGCATTGGGTTTGCTTTACTTCTCTCTGTGATTTATAATGGTAGTAGGACCGAAAGGAGTCCAATTCGGTCTGTAATCATACCAGCGGTCGTTCGATTTGTCAATCTCGAGTATGATTACAGACAGAATTGCACGGCTTGAAGTCCTGTTACCAATTAATCGTAACCGTTTCAATTTCCGATAAAAACAAATACATTTAGAACAAACATCTCCGGTAGAGACAATGTCTAAAGTAAAAAATTCCTCCACTTTGGAAATTCCCCATTTTTTTTCAGGATAAGTGGTTGTTGCTATGGTTATTGTGATCAATTCTGTGATTGGTGGATTTAGCTGGGTGGACTTCGTATGATTGGTTACTTTAACTGTTCGATTACGGGTGTCCGACTACAGCCAACTGTCCGATTACAACTGTGCAGAATGCTTGGTGAAAAATAAATCTGCTAATGCACCAATCACAGTTGCGGAAACTCTAATGGTTATGAGTAGTCCAGAAAACTCGCGTGACTCTCCGAACCAATCAGATGCAACATTAAAACTAACCACTACTTAGTCGCCCGGGTTTTTCCGCGCTTTAGGCAGTCTGATTGGTATAAGTGCTTTAGTATCTTCCTTTCCTCTAATTGGCTGTTGTTATTATTATGGTTTTGTTTTCTAATCAAACTGTTTTCTTACCTTGAGTAACGGATCAGTATGTTCCAACATCCAGCCGACCAGAGCGTGTCCAGCTTCGTGGAAAGCAACTATGTGGCGTTCTTCAGGAGACATAGTTTGAGTCTTCTTTTCCATGCCTTACGTAAATACACAAAGAATATTGTCTAACTAGGAAGCAGATACGGTAAACCACTATCGATTACGAGGAGGAATTTGAATATGTCTACCTTACTGATAACATAATCATTCAGTACAGTGCAAGGGATGGTTAAGGATTACCGCGTGGAAAATGAATTCATCCGCTTAAACAAAAAACAAGTTTTGATCAATTAGATCAATATTTACGATCGGTTTTCGTTCAAAGTGGTCTTATCGGGTAGTGTCTGCGCACAGAAATGACAATGATCCGAGTTAATAATATTTTGCTGGTATTTCGTACGCATTTCGATCGACTCTCTTAAACCAAGACCAAAATAATTACAATGGCCACTGAGAGCAAATGAAAAAAAAAAAAATAAAAACACACGGGGCTCATTACAACTAACGGCGAAAAACAAGCAAAGTGACAAAAGCGCGGGAAACACACGTGAGCACGTCGCTGCGGGTTTCAGTTTTGCATCTGATTGGCTGTAACGTAGTGCGAGTTTTCTGAGTCAATCGAACAGTGTAGTGAAACAAAACAAGAGTAACCCAGGGTTACTTTCCCTTCTCAGTTCACAACTGATTCGATCTCTCACTATATTTCTCTTATTAAAGATGATTTTAAATGACCGTTGTGTCATCGTAAGATAACTCAATCTATTCGTGCAGATATAATTTTTACTTTACTTTACCAGCAATGACTCTTTCCACAGCATATTCAAAGTTTCGCTTATCAACCGTTTTCTCATTCATGCGAGCTGCATGCAGAGCAGCCTCGTTGCAAATGTTAGCAATGTCCGCACCTGTCAAGAGAGAGAAACTAAAGAGATTAATAGCTAACATGGGTTCTGACCATTCAACAGCCACCAGGCACACGGCTGACGCAATTCTACAAGACCTGGGGGAAGGGAGGGCGTATCTACCGGAAAATCCACCACGGGATTTGCATATGCATTAGATGAGTTTGTGAGGTCATCAGTATATTGTTTAGATTTTCCCTTTGTAACACAACGTAACAAAATAAACAAAATGGTAATTTCCCTCAGTGATATTTAACGAGATTTCTGTGATTAAGACAACTTTGTAAACCCGAGTCTCTGATTGGACTACCAAGACTGAACTTTCTTCATGGTATACTGCGGGATTAATTATTAAAAATAATTGAGAGAGATTTTTAATTCATTCAAACAAAACCTAACCACTGTTCCCAGGAGTAAGTTCTGCCAGAGTTTTAGAGAACGCCTTGACTAGCGTCTTCAGGGAAAGTTTCTTGAGGTGAACTTCAAATATGGCCTGTCGCTCGATTAGAGTTGGAAGGTCGATGGAGATGAGTCGATCAAATCGTCCAGGCCTCAGGAGAGCCTCGAGAGAACAAGAAAGAGGGCAAACAAATAATAAATAAATTCCATCACGGAAATTCTGGCCAACTAAAGCTAATTAACTCCGTGTTTACTACCTATCGTGCGTCTTCAGGTGTTTCCTACACCGTTCCCAATTAGGCATGGCTTTCCCTAAGCTTGTCGCCTACTGCATATCCTTTTTTGTAGCTTTGTATATTTCCATGCTCCCCACTCGTAGGCCTAATTCTCTCGCATTTACCAATCAAACTTGCTGTGACTAATTTCAAGTATGTGTATGGTTTAACACTGAGATTGCTAGATTATCTTAAGTGATCAATTCTGGTCATGGTATTTTTACCTGATCTAAAATGTCGTGTCTGTTTGTAGAAGCCAGCATCACGACACCTTCCATTGTGTTCATACCTTACCACCAAAATAAAAAAAAAATTAGACAACAAGATCAAGAACTGTCCATTATGCGGTGTAACATGAATTATCTCAAGCAGCAAGATTCAAAGAAATCTCTGTAGAGATGAGCACAATTTTTTTACGTTGGTGGAGCTTTGGTTTGGAGATTTATCCACAATGCACGAGGTGGTAAAGAAGTTGGAAATTATTGATCAGTTTCTCCGTTTTTAAATTTATGACTCCTCGTTACCTCGACCTTCTTGCGAACATGCACAACGATTGAAGAAAGTGGCAATTTGAATAATCCAAGTTAAAATCATAGTTTTATTGTTATTGACACAGCTTTAAGTTTTCCTGAAGTGAAAGATTGAAATGTGCAGAGTAGTCAAGGGTTTCAATATATTTTCCCTTAAGCGACTGCCGAAGGTACATGTATAATACACGGCTGTACCGCAAGGCGAAAATCAAACACGAGAGCTCACACACAGGTAGTCAAGAGACGGCGGTAAAAGGTCTTACAGGTGGCCATAGACCGGCAGTAACCGTTTTTTTGTTGAAACCCCTCTTAGTTAATGTCATAAACTAGTGCTCACCATCCATTTCAACAAGAAGCTGATTTAAAGTGCTTTCCTGTTCACTGTGTCCTCCCATAGAACTAAAAAACAATGTAATTCAATTTGCTTACGTTAAAATCTTTCCCTTGTTTTAAAGTTTTGATTGAACTATAAATGTCTTGTTCCTTAGTTTAAGATCACGATAGGGAAATTAAATGCAAAACAAAAAAATAAAAAACGAGCTAATTTAAAAAAATTTGAACCATTTCAAAAAAGTTTAATGCCAGCAGATATTTCCGAGCTGTCAATAAATACTGTATGTAAGTCACAGTATACGAGAGAAATGACAAAATCTTGAACAAAACTAGAATTTTGTGCAACCTCTTCCAAATAAACTAGCCAACTCACTTTGATGAGCGAGATCTTCCAATTGCATCAACTTCATCAATGTACAGAATACAAGGAGCAAGCTTCCTGGCTCGACCAAATAAATCCCTAACTCTTGCTGAGCCTACACCACCAAAAACTTCAACAAAATCTGAGCCAGCCATGGTAAGGAAGGGAACATCTGCCTCTGTAGCAACTGCTTTGGCCAATAGAGTCTTTCCTGTACCAGGAGGACCAACTAAGAGAGCTCCCTTAAAAAGTGAAAAATAAAACACATTAAACAGATGAATAAAAAAGGAATTTACAATGGGTGAAGTTTGGAGAGTGAATGCAGACTGAGTTGAACAAAACAACTAAATAAGATACCTTATATAAATTAGGAGCTAAATGGTAATGCAATCTTTTAAGACAATTTTTATCGCAATCAAAGCACCAACATATTAAAGTTGAAAAGGACAAGAATTGTCATATGCATCATTTGCCATTAATGAAAATGATCCACATTGACTTTCCCAGAGGTGTTTAAGCAAAAATGAAAAAAAAAAAAAAAAAAACCCAAACATTTGTTTGATCAATTGTGATGAGCAGTTGTGATGAGCAGTTGTGATGAGCAGTTGTGATGAGCAGTTGTGATGAGCAGTTGTGATGAGCAGTTGTGATGAGCTTGCTGTTTGTCAGCTCAAAAATAAATTTTGTGTTAGGTCTGTAAAAAGGGAATCAATTTATTTCCGAAATATACAAAATAAAAGCTACATGATGGGCACAACAAATAGGAAAGCCAACAACAGATATCACATTTTATTTCTAGTATGATATATCAATTAGTTCAAACCTTAGGGATTTTTGCTCCAAGCTCTGAATATCTTGCAGGGGATTTCAGATAATCCACAAATTCCATCACTTCACATTTTGCCTCTTCCATCCCTGCAACATCTTTGAAGCTTAAAAGTAATTTTAGGAGTGTGAAAATAAGTAGATAAACTTATTAAATTGATGAGAAATTTTTTGCACAAAGTCTTTAAAACATTAAATTGTCAATTAACATAATTTTCAAGAATAGCTTCCAAATGATCATGATCTAATACCTTATCCCCTTTCCACCTCCTGGCATGACTACTGTTGGCTTGGCTTTGATGTAGTTAGCCTGTGGATTGAAGTTTAATAATGAACATTAAAAAATTAAGTACTTCTGATTGGCTTAAAACAATTGTTTTCTCATGTAACACAAGTGCAATGTTGTAACACAAGTGCAAATTACAAATAGTGTTTGCACCCTTTCAAAATTTTGTCTGTCTTGACTTTCTGCAATGTTTTTTCATGTACACTGTTAACAAGTAAAAACATTATTTCTCTTGCAATTTGGTGTAATAAGCAATTGAAAATTTTACAAAGACTACAAATTGCATTTGCCATAAAGATTTGTGCAATTTTGTTGTCCTTGAAAAACTTAGCTTCTTTTTACCAAATTGTACTTGAAATCCTTTTATTACCTATACTTATGCTGTCAGGTTTGAAAAAAGTTGCTCTGATTGGTGAACTAGGGATTGTGTTGTAACTCTCTATAACCAACCTGTCCTGTCTAACCAAAATACTGTGCCATTTATTTTTAAAAAAGGCTTTACAAGAAAAAAATTTTTGCTGCTCCCTCTTCCACCACTCCATGTAACATTAAAACCAACATTAAGTAACTTGGTGACTCATGTTTTCCTGAAGTACACAAAGGTTGTGTTTAGCTTTTATCAGTTCCTTAAGATATTTACTTCATTCTTATTGGCTGTTAAGATAATACTTGGTTCAGGTGTTATGTCACTCAATCAAAAAGCTCTCTAATTGTTTGATTTAGTGACTTACAAATGGATTCATTCCCATTATTCCTCCTGATTTGTTTCCTCCTTTTGTTCCTCTTCCAAAAAGCCAATACCATACCAACCCTAAAACAGCAATACTTAGAGCAGCACTCAGGGCTGTGAATCTGTAAGAAGAAACATCCATAATTTAGAGTCAAATACTGTCTGCATACTCAAATATCCAAGACTTCTTTGGACTAGTTTCTTCAACACCTGAAAAAATTTTATCCTAGCTAATCAACCACCCCCACCCAAAAAAAAAAAATAATAATAATAAAAACAAAAACAAAAAGACGAGCAAAAAAAGAAAAACCATGGAACATTCTCATGCCTTTGGTTAAGTTAATTTGGGATTTGAACTATTCATATTTATAAAGCTTCTCAATGCCCCTTAAATTGAACAAAGATTAAAATTGGAATACTGAAATATCTCTTAAAAAATCCAAGAATTCTTAAATGTAAGTCAAGGTTGTAATTGTTGAGTTCAGTCACAGGTCTGAAAATTTGGAATTTCTCATTAATGGTCTGTAGAAAGAGACCATAACTGCTTAACAATCTTACTGGTTTTGAGTGATTTTTGAAGAAAAAAATATATGCCAGGAAATGAGTGAAAACTTAAAAAAAACCTTCCTTACAGCAGTTCATTTGTTGTCCTGTATCTTACAGGAACAAAGTCATGAGATGCTATATGTAGATCGGCTTGAGCAGAAGCCATCTTTTTTTCAAAGCTGTCCAAACTTGCAATGCTGAACACAAAATGTGGCCCATGAGTCAGTACCTAGGAAAAGCATGCATTGCTCATTATTCAAACCAGCAATTTGAAGAATAATTTGAGGGATAGTTAATGATAAATAAATATGCCAACAGAAGTAAAGGTTGAATTTTTTTTATGCTACTGGACTGGAGGATTGCAGTGGAGGATGTTTTGAGCAATTTATTTGAGGTGAGTGGCAAAGACTCTCTGATCGCATGCTCAAGGGAATAAGAAAAAAGGTGCCAGTAACAGAAATAGGTTCAAGGTTTGAAAGCCAGGGAAGGAGAGATGAAAGACAGCTTGGAGAAGGACGGTTAAATAGAGCTGCATAAGGCAGGTTGAATTAACAGAGCAACTAGGACAAAATAGGACAAAATAGGACAAAAACAGAACAGGTAAGGGCTTTAATGAGACAAAATAGGTAACAGCCTCAAGGCTACAACACATTGCAAGGCATGTATATGTAACTGCCAGACCTGGTGGGAAAAAGCTGTAGAAACAATATGCATAGTGTGAATTGAGATGCAAAGTTAAGTACTATTTTGCCTTTATGCCAGAATAACAGCAATTAATATCATGAGTTTAAGCAACTTGTTTTGAGAGCAGAGTACACCAAGTAATCTCTTGCAGATATCTAATCCAGCTGAATTTCCTCTTGTGTCTTAATCTCTAAATGCCTTCTGGTACTGTAAGATGTGTAAATAAAGCTATACTATTACTGCACATCCCAGGTGAGTTCAAGTCTGCAGTATTCTACTAATGCACAGGTCAGGTCCTTATTCTAACTCAAAAATCAGTATAAAACAGTATACAATACCTCCTTTCCTCCTACTACTGCACCTCTGTGCAGGAAGACATAAACTTTGTCTTGACTTGAAGGTACTTCTAAGCGCTCAACCTGGAAACAAAGAAAACTTACGTAACAAACCATCACAGATAAAACACATTTCTGGTAAGATATATAAAGGCAAGGCAACCAGGTGGACAATCACACATGGTTTGATGCTACTCTGGTTTAAAGATTTAATGAATGTAACCGAGAAGTTACAATTCAAAGACCCAACATTTGGACACTCCTATCTACTGCCTTCATTAGGGGTGATCTAATCATGGCAACAAGAATACAAAAGGACCTCTTGTTGCAGCAATTAGATCACCCCTGATAAAGGCACTAGACAGGAGTGTCCAAACATTTGGTCTACGAATTGTAACTTCTTGGTTGCATTCATAAAATCTTTAAAACAGACTAGCATCAAACCGTGTCACATCTCTAGTATATGTACAGCCATGTATATATGTTCCCAATCGCACACTTAAAAATAATCAAAAGTGGTAACATGCCCTGTCATTATCAATTACGTTATAAATGTAAGGCTATGTATGTTTACAATGGTTTACATGTTTACTTAGTTAAAGTTGCTTCAAACCTGTTTACTTTTTATCTCAGTTTTTTATTGTATTACTTAAAAGACAAAACCTAGTGAATGATTCTACAGTTACATAAATACTTAGATATTTATTCAAATCTCTATGTTTACAAATTATATAGCATACTCTATTATCATATGATTTCATATAATTATAAAATCTAAAAGGTTGTTTGCAATGCTGATTATGGGATTACCAACCAAGGTTTTTCAAGTAAAGGCTGAAAACTTAGTGAGACAAATAAGGTAGCAGACAATACTTGGCAATAGATGAATTGAACTCACCTCGCCTGTAGAAAGCATTTCTCTGTAAAATGTTGTCCATGTTGTTTCTGGTGTAGGATCAGATCCTGCAGCAAGGAGGTAAAATACTGCAAGCATAACCCAAGGAAGGATGGTTACCCATCCTCCATCTTTCCCAGGCTCCTCCTCAGGATTTTGAGAATCACCTGCGATGGTGACAGAAGAATCAATTAAAAATTTTTATGATGCTGAGTGTGTTACAAGAAGTTCACTTAGCTGAAAATTGCCACATAAGAAAACGAAGAAGACTAGACTCAAGAATAAACTTTCCTTAAGAACAGGGGCATGCACAAAACTTTGCTTCAACATTACGTACACCAACTAACCCTAAAGGTGGTTATGATTGTAAATAACAGCCACGATTATATCATTATAAGCTGCTTTATTTCAATAAAACATCATATAATTACTGGTGATACTTCATTTAAAAGTGAGGCATTGCCAGTCAAACTTATCACTTGGAGAGTACAGGCAGTATGCAATCACAATAATAAGGTTGACACCTGACTGACCTCGTTCTGGGACAAACAATCACAATTTAACCCTTTAACTCCCATGGGTAACCAAGACAGAATTTCTCCTTACAATATCAATACAATATCAACCAGATAAGTGATGAGAATAAAGAAAAATATCAATTTAGGGATAATTAGTTGATCCAATACTAAATTCTCTGAACTAACATTATAAGAATTGTATAGTTGACAGTAAGGAGAATTACAAATTTGATTTGGGAGTTAAAGTGTTACTTGTATTTCTTTTCACCACTTTAATTAACTAACAATGAATAATGAGTGTAAAATTTAAAAAATATATAGCTGACAGGGTATTGCAGATGTTATGTAGGCATGCCCCTATTGCATCTACATGGAATTAAAAACCAAACCTGGCAGAAAACATATACATGCATGTAAAATACACTAGGGTGTACAGATGAAGGTTCAGTTCATTTCTTCAAAGGTGAGCTAATGGTAATCTCAGCAGTGTGATTGAGCATGTCAGGTGAACCAGCAAATATAATGTCATCAACCCTATTACCTTGTTGATGTTGATCTCCTTGGCCATGTTTTCTCATAAGGCTTGTTGAAAAGAATCTTGTTACACCTTGAATACATAATTTTACACAGTTTATAACAAAACGATATCTCAAATACCAAGCATTAAAATTCTTAAAACAGGTTTTGAAGCAGCAAAGAGCAATTGTTGAGAGAATTGTTTTCTTAGATGAATAACATTAATTTGCAAGTGTCCCACAACAATAAGCTTCACTTGTCTTCCTTTTTGATTTCTGACAGTGAGAGGACATTATTTTGCAGGAGTTCTTTGGCGAACCGTGTTCCACATGCTGCCTATCACTGTCTGCTATAGAGCAGAACAACACACTAAGCTCTGTATACCCATGCTTAATGTATGTCCATTTAAATTTAAATCGACAACAACGAATTACAACTTGCTTACCCTGCCTCACATTGTCTTTTTTCAGGAGGAGAAAAATTTGATAAATGGAGGGAGAATGAACGTACTTGGTTGAAAATTCGCCCTGCATAAAAGGATAGCATTAATTCAATTTTTCTTTCAAACATTTAGAACATTGATATGGAAGAAAATTCATAATCTAAACATTTTTAAAACTTATTAAGCTTACATTAAATTAAACTCGTGATCAAGGCTTGGACCAATATATGGAATGTCAAATTAGCCAGCTGCAAATATTAAATTTTCTATTCCCTCTTTATTTTCTTACCTGCGAGGACCTAACCAAACTACCAAAAAACCTTCGTGAATTGCACTTGACATATCTCTGATCAAGACTGACTCTTCCTAACGAAAGATGGCTGCCAACATGACGAGTATTTATGTAACTTGATTGGCTGTGAAGCAGTCTTGTGGGCAATCGGGTACAGTTGAACACCCAATTTTTGGTAAAAAATCGGTTCAAAGGGTAGAGAATCTGACGATTCATTTTTCCAAAACAGTGACTAAGTCATTCAATTTTAGTCGCACAAACGTCCTTCAAATCAAAGTACTGTATAAGACGCCATTATTGTTTAGGAATCCGCGATATTTCGACCTGCGGTCTTGTCTAATACCAAATAATATTTGTCAGATTTCGATCTCAGTGTCATTTAGGCTCAAGAAGACGGAAAAACCCTGGGATAGAGAGCGTCTCTCTCATGTGACTTACAGAGTTTGCGCAGTATCAATAATGACGTCATCTTATAATTTTATCACGGCCTCGTGCATTAAACGTTGAAGTGACGTTCTCCTCCGAGTAAACGAGTGCCGAGGAGAGTTTTGTCAAAAGACTACTGATATTTTTACGTTTCCTTCTTGACCGAGAACAAAGCCTGTTGCGAAAGACGTCCCATTACGGCCATGTCGATTGCTTTGGATCACGATTACTGCTTAATGGAGCCATCTGGCAACGATTCCAAGACCGAGATTTTGTCGTGCCTAGGCACAACGAAGCCACGAAACAAGAGGAAAGAAGAAATTTGTCCCAGAGAAGATCCTGACGGAGAGATTTCGTCCATTGATGAATCCATAAATTTGGAAGCATTACCTAGTTCTTCATCCCCTGCCCATAGTTCAGATAGTGGATTAGACGTTGGAATTGAGGATTTCCTGACCGATTTTGCTTCATCGTGGGCCGACGAAGACTTTGGATTAAACGACCACGATATCAGAGATTTAGAGGAACTCTTGAACTTTAACGAACAATCAAATAAACCGCCTTCTACAAAACCCTGCTTTACAAGTCTTCCAGTGAATGGGAATCTTGGGAAAAGGCAGCGAATTCCTCAAGAAAAAGTGGAAGACCAACAAGCCATCGTCGAGAGAAACAGAAAGAACGCCATTGCTGCCAAGGAGAACAGAGAAAAGAAAAAAAAGTACGTCGAAGGGCTTGAAAACACAGTCACTGATTTGAAAGAGGAGAATAAGACTCTTAAAGCCAAAAACGAAAGCTTGACGTCTATTATGAAGAAGCTGGCGGATGAGGTGAAATATTTACGAAATGTTCTCGCTAATGAGAGCACAATTTCACTGTTGCTGAAGAGCGTGGCGGCTACACCTGGAATTTCGTTATCTTCGTCGCTTGTGCAGTCGACGCAAAGTCAAGATACCGAAAAGGAAAGCGACACAAAAGAGGAAGAGGGGCGCTATGTGACCAGAAGCAGGAAGAGGCGGTCTGACGAGGGTGTGGAAGATGCCCCCAGCAAGAGAAAACGGTCAAATTCTTCTGGTGGTGTGTGTCTCCATGTGCGCGGTGGCAAAGTGTCCTTGGAATTATGTTCAAAGTGTGAGAGGAAAGCAATGGAGAGAGGAGTTCTGTAAATGAAACAAAATGTCGGTATCACAAAGTATAGGCCAAGTATATTATCACTACTTTGTCAAACTGAAGTGTTTCAGCTGCGGAACAACATATAAACAGGGAAAGAACCCTTAAGGTTATGAGTTCCTGTTATCCAAGACAGAAAACTATCTAAAAAAAGACGAAAGGAAAACAAAAAAAGAAAAGGCCTACTTCAGTGTAGGCTGAATGAAATAGTTTTGTTACTTTTGAGCAGCACGCACTCGTCGTCTTTCTTTCTTTTTCAGGTGCCACCAAACAAGGTTGGATCTAAGCCACAAGTTGAACTGAACACATCACAACAGACTTCGTGAACTAAATGGTAAAGTATCAGCCTCCTAGGATTTAAAAGTCTGACCTTTGAAAGTTTACACAAGTGTTATTAGCCGAAAGGGTTTGGGGTTTGCAGCTTAGAATCTATTAGACCCTCAACAAATTTCAAATTATACTCCATTGTTCCTTGACACTCGATAATGATAGCCGTTTTGCATTTTAAATGTGTTTTGGTGAAATCAATGTTTTCTGTATAAAATACATCTGCATCACCTCCTTAAATCTCTGGAATTATTTGAAGGATCCAAAAGACTATTAAGATTTGTAACTCTGATTTTCATCATTTTCATCACCAACCTAAAATTTGTAAAAAGATATTTATAAATGTTAGTAAGCACTTGTGAGGGCTTACTTATGAGAGTTGGGTTTTAAATACAAAGTTGTTTTGAGTGTGCAAACCTATGATCTTTCTAAGCTGTATTCCCAATTATTTTCACGAGCCATTGAAAGAAACTTGCTAAGAGGATGGCATAATCTGTTTTCCCAATTTTCTAACTTTATTTTTTCTTGGCTAATTGAAATAGCTTTTAAGGATTAAACTGAGTTATACGAAACAAGCTTGTTATACCATCATTTACAAACATTAAAAAAAAAAACTTGTCTAAACTCTCAAAGGTCAGGCTTTAGTTCATCATTCTGGAAGACAATGTAACTGACAAACACTGGTTTTTCCTTTCATGCTTCTTAAAGCTGCATCCTCTACACTATGGAGTGCTCTTCTGGACTACTGTTTGTAGGTAATAATATTTGAAATAAGTAGCTAAATGACTGCAGACAACACTACAAAGAAGGATTTCAAGAGAATGAAGTCGGGAATCATTTTTGATTAGCTTTTAAAGTTGAAGAACCAGCAGTTAATCCTTAGTTGGATTTTCATTTATTGTCTTAAAGACAAAAATAACCTGAAAACTTAAATTGGTGTTGGCCAAGTAAACATGAGGTTTTTCTTTCAAATGTTGACCACTTGAGGCAAAAAGGAGAAGATTTTTGACATAAGACTACAGTACCCTCTAGTGCTTGAGTTAGTGTTTCTATGTATGCCAAATCAGACAAATTTGGAAAAAAAGAAATTAAAAAAAGTCTAAAAATTGTGTTTATTGTCTTAAAGACAAAAATAACCTGAAAACTTAAATTGGTATTGGCCAAGTAAACACGAGGTTTTTCTTTCATATGTCAACCACTTGAAGCAAAAAGGAGAAGATTTTTTACATAAGACTACAGTACCCTCTAGCACTTGATAGATAAATTCAGAAAAAAAGAAATAAGGAAAAAGTATTAAAAAATTGTGAAGTATTGTAATTAATGTAAATAATATTTAGTATAATTAAAGATAACTTGTTTTATCAAGGAGTGGTATGAAGTTAACTTTTACTTGGTACTCATTCTGTAAAGAATTTTATTTCATCTGAACCAAGGATGATGTGTCTTTTTAAATGTCCACAACAAATACTTTGGAAAAAGTAATCTCAAGTCAGAATCTATTTGGGGGCACCAGTCACTGTTGAGGAAGGAAGCCTGTGCCCTTACCCTAAAGAGTTTATCCCTAAAACCCTTAAATGACCAGCATCTAATTCCTTCTTACAGTTATGTATATGAGAATAAGGGAAACACTTGCCAATCTCAGAAGCTTGATTGTTCAATGAATTCTCCATTTCAGTATTAATAGAAATATGTTTAGAATAGTATGAAGAGTATTGATACTGATGTGAGGAAGTAAAGGAAATATGGTTATTTCTTTAAAGTCTCATTGGTAACCAGTTCTATTCGCTCTGTCGTTCTTTTATTTTGAAATTCAAACACCAAAATGTTTTGTGGGAAAAGAAAGAGATTAGACTTGTAAAATTATAAAATTAGCTGACTTGCCACAAATGGAGCCCAAGCATTGTTAGAAATTTATGTTGTCCTGAGAGCTCAGGCTCGGTCTTTTCAAGGAAGAGCATTCCTTTCATCTCAGTTTTGTGTTCTGAGTGAGCTGGTAATCAATTGGCAACTGAAAGGACTTTGTTCACGTGAACTTTTTATTATTTGCCCATCCTCCAGGCTTGAGCTCGGCTGAAACTGCCGGAGATAAACATAGCGATGTAAGATAACTAGATTGACATGAGTAGTTAATCAACAACTTCCCTCTTCAAAACCTCCCATTGTAATTTCGTCAGGTCACCTATGTCTGTAAAGGGCATGGCAAGACGCATCTCTTCAGTCAAGGAATCAACATCGGATAGTAAGCACACAAGTATATCAGGGAATTTTGAAGATCTGTATTTAATCCGTTTTTCAAGGATAGGGATCTCGTAGACAACAGTCGATAGTCATCTTCAGAAGGACTGAGTTGGCGCCGTCGGCTAAAGCGATTTGTCCATTACACGAAAGTAAGTGCAGATCGTCGGTTCCTTACATGTCTTCCATCAATGTACATACACGACGTAGGTGTTGACCCGCATTGTATTGTGGTTCGAAAAAGCAAGATGGCGGCTATGTCGCCTGAAGCTGTGGATCCTGTCTTGCTCTTTTGTGACACATTCAGCCATCCTGAAAATGAGGTTAGTTAAAAGATCTCTGTGAATTTAACCAGGGAAATTCAATGTTACGGGAAGTTTTTCGTATTTCAAATTTGCTATTGCCCGCGACGCCACAAATTTGCATATTTTTCAAATGCATTACTAACCAGCTGTTGATCAGCTTCAGGTCGAGAACGTTTCCTTGTGATCCTGTGATTAATTTTTTGAAAGGTCCTACGCTATTTATGCTCAATCTCTGATGCCTCTACGTCATGCTAGTCAGATAGTGCAGCATGTGCGTGACTAAGTCACTTCCGCTGAGAAAAATGCATCGCAAGCCTTGCACCCTGATTATAATTGCGATCAGCTCCAAACTTTGTGACAATATGTAATGCCGAGAATCTCGGAAAGTGGTTTCGAATTTTTTGTTTGATATGGAGGTAAAATGAGCCTTGGAATCAGCAGATATTTTTAAACAAGTTCTTTGGACTGAGTCTGTCTCTGACTGCATGAGCTAATGCCAGGCCTCGACTAGATTGATGTATAGTCAACTCAGATTTTGTGCATGGAAGTTTAGTCGATTAAACTACGATGAAACTTTGTGACTTTTTAGCTTTAAGAAGGTCATATGTGTATGGACTGGGGGTCAGTGTTTTGTCCATCACCCTTTCATGTACGTTTTGGTTTAATCAGACTAAGATGTATTTTCCTGATACAAGCAACTAAGCTAGTTATTACTGATCTAATTTGTGATCTTCCACGGGAGAATGTACACGAATGGCTTTCCATTTAATGGGTGAAATGCACAGCTACAGAATGGGTAACAAACAGGTAACTTAGCCATTCAAACGGATGCTATCGAACAGCTGAACAGGCTATCGAGTATTCTGAAGGGCTTATCTAAATTTTTTAATGGGTTACCTAAACAACTGAACAGCTTGTCAAAATTTTCAAATGGGTCATGCAAACGACTGAATGGCATGTGAAAATTATCGAATAGGTTACCCAAACAACTGAACGGCTTGTGAAAGTTATTGAAGGGCTTGACATAGACAGATGAAGGGGTTTATGATTAATTTCAGACCGCTCATGAGAAAAAAATTGCCATAAGAGCTGAATGGATAGGTTATCATTCTGAACAAATGGACAGATCAGGTCCGATTCACATTTGAAGTAGGTTCAACAGACAGTCAATTGTTTTGATGTAATAAAAATATTGACTTCCCACAGCTGCTATAAAATTGTCTGACGAAGTATTTAAGTTTGTTAAACAGAGACTTCAGCATCTTCTATTAAAAGCAAAACTCGAATAACCCATGAAGGTCAAGTTTTCATCGTTTATCTTTGCTGTGTCAAGTGTTTATTGCCACTTTATTGCACAAAAATGCGACTGCAACGTTTTTCTAGTAGCTTTGCATGTTGTCAAATTGTTCCCTTTATTGTTTCTTTTGACAGTGAATTCGATATGGTAAACATAATTATTCTGTGCATGATTCCATTTCTGGATTTAATATAACACAATCTTGTGACATTTGCATAAAGTAGACCTGTGTGACAGGTAATGCAACACTATCCAATTCTGAACCTTCCAAACAGATGATACAAGTCGTATGATGGAAAATAGTCCGAGTCCTTCGAACAGGCTGATGTTTTTCAACAAATGATGACCAAGCTGTTTGAATGGGCTGCTGTTTTCGACAAACGGATGACCAAGCTGTTCAATCAGGCTGATGTTTACAACAAACAGATAACTGAAGCCATTCAAACAGATGCAAATTTTTCTGAACGGCTGACAAATGGCTTGTGAATGGAAGCCGTTTGAAAACATTTGTACTGTACGTTTTCCCGTGGAAGGTCACATTTGATTGTTCGTAATTGGTTAGATTACTGAACACAGTCATATTTTTTATGAGTTCAAATATCAAAATGATGATATTGGTGGAGCAAACCAACATAAATTAGGTCTGCACTACAAGGCTAGGAAACTCATCAAAAGGGTATTAACCCTTAAAATTCCAAGATCTGATTGTTAATTTCCCCTTTGGCTACTATACATTTCCATGTAAACTAGTCACACTAATTTGGTTTTAGATGAAGATAACACCTCCTATGTGACGAGTTTGAGAATTCCAATTGTTGTTTACTGAATATTGTATAGATAATATAGTGAGAAGCTATGGGTTAATCACTTCTGGGATTCAAAGGGTTAATACCTGTGAGTGATTACTTAATTTATTGGTATATTCTCTACAGGAAATGCATCTTGACTTGATCAGCTTTCCAAGACCCGTCTGCATCCAGGAAGTAAGGGTCATACCTGCAGGACACAGAGTCCATGCTGCTGTTAGTGAGAGAGAAAAAATGGGGTATGTAACTTCTGATACTAGATATCACCATATCTGTTAAAAAAAAGTCTAGCATTGTAAACTTTGGCAGCTCTCATGACTTCTTAAAATATTTCATGTGTTAAATACCTAGGGTTTACAATTAGCATTGTGATTTCACCACTTTCTCAGCTAGCAAAACTTGCTTGGAATTGGTACTTGGAAACACTTCTTGAGTTACTTGGTTACATAAAATGACTTAACTATGTTTTCTTTACAGAGAGACCCATCCTCCCTCTTTTAAGCTGGATCTATTCATTCGGAATCTAGACAGGCCTGCAGATGTAGTGTTTGAAAGACTTGGACAGTAAGTGACAAAAAAAGTATTTTTTATTTTCATCTTTTTGCAGTTGTTACTTAATCTGTCAAAGACTCTCTGGTTGTTAATTAAAAGGAGAGAAAAACAGAAATATTGTTATTAACAGTTCTTTAATTCATCTTATTTTCTAGACTAGAGTATAAAGAACCCAACAATTTTCAGCTGGTTACCAATTCTAAGGTAAGACTTTTTACAGTCAATTTTGGTTGGGGGTTGCTGAGTGGTGAGGGCGCTGTGCTCATACTTTTGTGCCCTTGTGTTCAAGCCCTCCACCCTGTTACTCCCCAGATTTGTTCTCAGTTGTCCCAAGTTTAACACCTTGGCTGTGCTTTGAATATGGCCAAATTGATCATGGAAAAAGTGTGGTGGCTGCATGTGGGATTGCAAAGTAGGTTATCTGCAGTCCTTCTTTGCACTTGGTCACCAGCTATGATTTGATAATCACTTTATAGGGAAGTGCAAATATAAGAACAAATTTAACAAAATGGTTTGGAGTAGTAAAATGGATATAAGGCTACTCTCTTGTTAAATTTCCTATCTCTGACAAACAAAATTGATATTGGTTTCAAACCTTTTATTATTACTAGTAATAAATATAACTACTTTTCAACTACATTTGGTTTGAATTGTTTTGATTAGGGTGCAACTGATGTGGTGGTTCTGCGTGGGTGGTACAATAGAATCACCATTAGTCTGTATGGTCTCTTCACTGATGTCAATCAACGTCCTCAAGAAACACGCGCAGAACCCAGAGTTGATAGGCCCCCAGTCATTGTAGAAACAAGAGGCCTTGATAGGGATATTGAAAGAGTGCTCAGGGATACAGAGAAAGTACCCTTTGAAAAAGTACCTGAGAGGGCTGAAAGAGATCATGATAGAGGTCCAGAAAGGTCATTAAGAAGGGAGAGGAGTGCTGAGAGAGGTCCTTCTGACTCAGCTCTCTTTGAGAAGAGTCCAGATGAAAGAACCTTTGAGAGAACCACCGAATCAAAGGAGAAGAGAGATGAGCAGTGGCATGCAAAAGATGAAAGAAAAGCTGGGAAGGAAAG